GTCCGTGCTGTCCGAGCTCCGGCCGGTGAGCGCCCGCGAAGGCGACAGCGCTACGTTCGAGTGCACCGTATCAGAGGTCGAGACCACCGGCAGCTGGAAGCTCGGAGGCCGCCCACTGAGACCCGGAGGCCGCATCCGCATCCGACAGGAAGGTCTGGCCGACTTGCTACCCTAGCTCCTCGCTGCCCCGCCCCCGGCTCGCATAGACCCCGCCCACTAGTATTAGCCCCGCCTCCATCTCGAACGGGCCCCGCCCCACGTCCCCAAGCCGTCAGCCTGTCTCTCCGCGAGCCCCTGGGTCGGAGCCCTGGGTCCTGGCCCGCTCCTCCTCCCCCACCGCATCCCAGTTCCGCCCATCCTAGCGCACGTCTGTCGCGTCCGAATCGACCCGGCGACCTACTCCTGCCCCACCACCCTCATCTCCGATCCCTTCCCAGAGGTGGCTCCGCTCGCTAGCGCCCCCTTCGTCCTCAGGGAAGAAACATATCCTGGTGCTAAGTGAGCTGCGCGCGGAGGACGCCGGTGAGGTCCGCTTCCAGGCGGGACCCGCCCAGTCCGCAGCTGAGCTGGAAGTGGAGGGTAAGCCGCTGCCGCGGGGGCGGCCTGGAGTGGGCATCACCTTCCCTGGGCCTGGCAGGCTGGCGGCTTGTCCTAGGAACGCTGCCTCCCCCACCTCCCTTTCTCGGGGGGCTCTCCCTGGGCGGGTCACAGAGGGCAGTGCGCCGTCTCCGGGGGAGGAGGAGACTTTGAGTTGAGGGTACAGAGGAATGGGCCCGTGGCATTGAGATCTGAGACCCGGGGCGAAGGCCGTGGGGGGAGGGAAGATGGGTTTCTCTTCCTGGGGGTCCTGCGTGTCCCTATTAACTTAAGCCCTCGTCCTCCACCCCCAGCACTGCCTCTCCAGATGTGCCGCCGCCCGCCTCGCGAGAAGACGGTTCTGGTGGGCCGCCGGGCGGTCCTGGAAGTGACTGTGTCGCGCTCCGGGGGGCACGTGTGCTGGTTGCGGGAGGGGGTCGCGCTGTGCCCGGGAGACAAGTACGAGCTGCGCAGCCATGGCCCCACCCACAGCCTGGTCATCCGTGACGTGCGACCTGAGGACCAGGGCACCTACTGCTGCCAGGCCGGCCAAGACAGCGCCCACACGCGGCTGCTGGTAGAGGGTGAGTGAGGCTGACTTGGGCAGGAGGCCTGGCCAGGCATAAGTGGTCACCTGGGAGCTGGTGGGCTGAGACACACCTACCGCAGATATTTCAGGGCGTGGGGTGGCCAGTTGGTCCTGGGATGTACTGAAGGTAGGAAGTAGGGAGGCCAGGGATCTGTTAGGCTGAGGAGAGGAAGGAGCTGTGTTCTCCACAGGAACCACTGGGTTCAGGGCAGCGAATCCCACCTTTCTACACCGCTTCCTATCCAGTACCCTCCTCACTTCCTCCTGCCACTACACCATGTTTGTCTCACCTGAGTACCCCATTTGTACCCAAGTCCTTATCCTCCCAACTACCGGCTCCTGGTTTGTGGCCCCCACAGTTCCCTCACCCCCTCCTGCTCTCTGCTGGCTTCTGCCGATCTCAGTGAGTTCAACATCAGCCTGGGTAGAGGACTCCTGGGCTAGTCCCATTTCTTTCCTCTCCCACATAAGAGATGCCCCACTCTCCACCCCAATTCCTGCATTCCCTTCAGATGCCTTGCCCCACCCCTCCCAGGCCCCCCCCCCCACTTTCTTGCAGCGCAGACAGCCATGACAGAGGCCCCAGAAAGGGTGGGGCAGAGGGTGAGGGCCACTCTTCCTGTGTGGGTGCCCAGGTTCTGCCAGGGAGGAAGGTGGTACCCACTTTCTCCCCAGCCCCACGCTGAGTTATTCCTCTGCAGGTAGCTAGAAGGACCGAACCAGGCCAGGTGGGTGCCCTCGGACAGCTTGGAAGGCGCATGCCCTTACCCTGGGCAGGGATGGGAGGCAGGGAACCAGAGGTGTTGAAAAACAATAAAAGTGGTGTAGCCCTTTTCCTTGGCTCTCTGTATGACGAAGGAGGGCAGAACTGGCCTGGAGGACCCTGTGTGGTGAGTGACACAGGGGACCAAGAACTACAGTGCTTCCAAGTTGGCCCATGGACGTGCCAGCCACTGAAGATAACTACTCTTGGCAGAAGCCACAGTTTGGCACATTTATAAAAGATGTAAAACAGGGTGGGGCGAAGGGAGACAGAAGCATGAGGTGTCCAGGGTGGCAGTGACAGACACCAGACATGCATCGTGCATTTAAGCCCCCTTAGTCCCAGGCCCCCTCCCCAACCCAGCCCAGAGCAGCAGCCCCCACCCCCATCCTCTGCCACTGCCCTCAGGCTGGTGGCTTTGCAGAGGACAGGGAACCAGGGTGAGGGGTGCTGCAGTGGAGAAGGACAAGAAGCCTTGGATGAATCTGGCTGAGAGGCAGAGCAGTGGAGGGAGAAGGCAGACCTCCCCCACTTACACATGCAGGAGAGTGGCCCATGGGACCCCAGCAGTGGAAGAGGAGGTGGGCAAACCTTGCAGAAGCCCTACCAGTCAGAAATCTAAGGCAAGGGTCCCAGTGTTCCCTCCAACCCCACCCCTTCATGCACACGCACACACAGGTGACACACTCACAACCCTGAGCACACCCCAAAGGGGCTCACACCCCCTGTCCCTCAGGAGCCCCTTGGGAGAGGGCTTTCCCTCAGACAGGCATAGCCCGAGACAGGTCCTCCCTTCTAGCAGCCAGGCCAGTCCTCTCCAGGGTAGAGAAACAGCCATAGGCTACAGGGCGAAGTGGGCTGGGTGGTGGCCCAGCAGGCCTCCGCAAGCTAACAGAGCTGGTGACCACAGAGTCCAGGTGGGCGGGAGCAGCTAGACTGCTATACCCGCACAGGGGGCCCTGTGCAGGCTGTCAGTGGTCCCCGGGACCCGTATTCATAGTCCATGTCTGTGGGTGAGGCCATGAAGGAGCTCAGTGAGCTTCCTGTCTGCCGGTCCCGGAAGCTCTGGATATAGCTCTGTGGGAGAATAAACACAGGTGTGAGTGCAGCCACAGACCCCTGCCCTGAGAGCCACCTCAGGCAGACATCCTCTCCCTGCACCCCCACAAGCCTGAGACTCACCCCAGACGGCTGCAGTCCCAGGACCTCATCACACTCATAGTCTAGCCCTGAGACCCTACCCCATACCATACTTAGTTAAAATTCTTACTCAGGCACTTTTCCCCCATCCCAGCGCTGGGCCCATCAGGCTCCTGGTGCAGGGGTTATGATGGGTGGACAAACACTAGGCCTTCTAGACAGTGCCCAGCCCCTGGGGAAAGCCCAGTCCTGCTTGGACGGAGCTTACACACTCCCTTGACCCCATTCGGATTGGAGGGGCTCGGAGTACTCACCGGGGAGAGGACATCTCCATTGAAGCGTTTGATGGGCACTGGCCTGCGCCGATAAGCAGGGTCAGGGGGCCCAGGCCTTGGAGGAGCCCGGGAACCTCTTGAGGGAGCCCTTGGGGGTCTCTTCTTGCGACGTTTCTCCTTGCGTTCTTCCTGCTGCCTTATCCGCATCAGCTGCACACGTCGTCGCTGCCGGCTGATGACCACTGTGAAGGGATGGGCAGAGGAGAGTCTCAGGGGTTCACATGTGTCATCTCCACCCTTCCTACCTGGTGGCCTAGGGCTTCCAGATTCCCCTTATCTGTAACCCCTCCCTTTCCTTTCCTGGTCTCCCACCTCCCAGTTGGGACTTCCATTGCTCTTTACCTCTGAATTCTTTATGGAAGATTCCTAGACTTCTAGGTACCCCTCTCCAGCTGTCATCCCTCTCCCAACCCTGAAGTCTAGGTGACTCACCAAGACCAGCCATCATCATCCCTCTACTGGACAACCTCAGCTGCCTCCTCACTGGTTTCCCTTCTACACTTGCCTTCCCCGGTGTTTTCTACACTCAGCAGCCAGAATGAACATCCCAAATGCTAAATTAGATCATGTCCTCCCTGCTTTAAGCCTCCAGCAGCATCTCATTGCCCTCCTAATAAAATCCAGCCTGGCTGGCATGGCTCAGTGGTTGAGGTCACGGTTTGATTCCCAGTCAGGGCACATGCCTGGGTTGTGGGCTCAATCCCCAGTGTGGGGCATGCAGGAGGCAGCCAATCAATGATTCTCTCCCATCACTGATGTTTCTATCTCTCTCTCCCTCTCCCTTCATCTCTGAAATCAATAAAAATATAAAACATAAATAAAATCCTTATCATGGCCCAGAGGGCCCACATAATCAGCATCCCTCAGTCCTCATAGTCCAGCCCCATTTCTTCAGCAAGCCACGCCCATCCCTTCTCAGGCCCCCACTCTTGCTATTCCCTTTTCTCTAGCTCTTTGCATGGCTGGTCCCTTATTCTGCAGAACTCTACTTAAGCGTCACCTCTTCCAAGTGGCCTTCCTTGAGCACCCTGTCTATAATAGCCTCTGAAGGTCACTCATATTACCCTGCATATCTTTCATATCACTCTGCACAACTGGGACTCTCTTGTTTGTTTGCATGTCTGTTAGGGAGGGGCCTCTTCTATTTTTGTCTCTGTTGTATCTCCAGTTCTGGAGTGGGCTTAGCTCAGAGCTGCTGCTCCGTACGTTGTTGTGGAATGAATAGTACCACTGAGGTCCTATCTTCCTTCCCAGACCACGATCAAGTCACCTCTCTAACCCTATTGAGGCCTTCCACTGCTGGTGTGCACAGCTTCTCCCCCCACTCCCCAATTGCTCCCCCACCC